CTATTGAACCTACTGTCCATGATGGCCAGCACAAATGTATTGACCAGGCTTTCCGGGCAGCTCTCCGACGAACGGCACACCATCCGCACTCAGCCCGATGATGCCGCTCCAACTATACTCAAAGCCTTCCCCTGGACCTGTAGGGGCGTCTTTCCAACCTTCGAATTCGGATGCTGCAAGCTTTCTGACATGCTTTGTCACACCCTCTAGGTTCGCAAGTCCATCATTGATGCAGTTCTCTGGATTCTTCTCAACCCATGCATCCAGTTCCTTTTGGCCTGGATTGGAGCCACCAAACATAATGTTGCCATCTGAAGACGAACGCGGGTTGATACTGAATAATGCGCCATCCGGTAGCAGAACACCATAGGAGTTGCTGATAGCCTTTGATCCGCTGAAGGCTTGCGGTGGAACTACTCTGTTGCACATATGCGGCTTGGGCGTGATGATACCGCGAAGTGATGGCTCGAGGGCTGCACTGTATGCATTCGTAGCGTGCACGACGGTGTCACATGCGATGTCTCCTCGCTCCGTGTGGACGACCCATTTCCTAGATCCGTTTCCGTCAGAGATAGACCTCGCAGTAGTGCGAGTCTGTAGGTTGGCGCCCTTGCTTATGTTATCGCGCATGATGTGTGCAGTCAGCTTCCACGGTTGGAGGGTCGATGTCTGCCATGCGTAGCAAGCTTTCGCACTCCTGATCCGAGACTTTTGCGCCGCTTCGACAGGATCGTGGGTAACTTGAATATGGTCGACCTTTCCACCTGCTTCCGCGTACCTCTCGAATATTTCTTTAGCTATCTTCGCAACTTCTTCGTCCAGGGGAACGTCTAGGGTCTCTCCAACCCAGAGATCGCAATCCACGTTGTTCTCTTTGACGTATGCTACCAACGCTTCCCACGTAGCTTGCTCGTTGTCCAAGATCTTGACCGCCTGCTCGTGGCCGTACGCTTTGGCGTGTTTCCCGTAACCCCGCCACTGATCAGGTTTGCAGTGGCCAGCGTTGCGACCTGTTGCGCCGGAGCAGAACTCTCTCGCTTCGAGAATGACCACTTTCTTTCCGGGAAACGTCTCGAGATGATGCTTCGCGACAAGTGTCCCTGTGATACCAGATCCAATGATGACCGCATCGGCTTCTTGTGGTAACTCATCGGTAGTGCGATGGTCTAGAAGTGGATCGCATCGAACCTGCTGTAACCAGTACGAAAGTGACTGTCCACCTTGTTTGGGGAAACCTGTACGACCGTGACTTTGCGCTTGCGATGCATACTCTTCTACGTTGAGGGCGGCTGATGTTTCTGGAAGAGTCACGCTGGGTGCACCACCCATTCTGGAATCGTCTGAGTCCACCTGCTTCATGTTGGAGTGCCAGGAGTGTGTATAGAGGATGTGGCTCTAGAAGGGACTAGATACGTTAGCAAAAGCCATGCTGCAGGCCCATTTTGACGGTACCACGGTGATTTTGAACACTGCTACACAATATGCTTACGTACCTTTGCTGTATTCGACTGTTGTCGCTGCATGTGAATCAGCCGTTAAGTGTTGGGCGCGCAGCCCGGAGATAAGCTGTCAGTCGCACCTTGCCCCACATGCTCGTCACTTGTTGCAGCCCGTAGGCATCGTTTCCATCAGACTTGCGGTATTCCGGCCACCTCTCTAAATGCGTCCGCCCATCTTCGTCGTATGATCGTTATGACACTGTCGAAGCAGTAGCAGTCTCTACCTTCCAAATGTGGCTATATCACGACTGAGAAGTGGCGACACAAGGAGCCAACATCATCACACGAGATATCGCCTGGGTCGCTGCATCATACCCCTGGCTAGTCCATGTCTTCTTCGTCTTCGGCAGGTAGGCGCCAAGATTGTCTCTCTGACGCTAATCAGAGAACACTTCGTAAAGATGCGAGATACGCGTAGGGTAAGGAAGTCGAGCCAGGCGTTGATGCCGACCGTCACATGATTCTGGTGTTCCTTTGACCAGGATCAATAATTCTCGCTAGCACCAAAAGTGACCGGATCAGGAAATTTTCGACCAGGACAAATAACTTTTTGACCCGGATCAATAACTTTTTAACCCGGATCATTATACTCATTTCCCGGAGACGGTGACACGGCAAAAAATAAACACGCGTCCCCTATAGTCGCTCCGAGACAGCTCCCGCTTCTCATGTTATTGTCTCAACGTATCTCCGCGCAACGCGCGTGATTGTCTTGGACATCCTGACGCGACGCGTCACAACTGCATCTCAAGAAATCACAATACATTACCATTACGTCCACGTCCTACGAAATCGCGAGCAGCAATGGAAGCGCCACATAAACGCCAGCGCGTCGACACCGACCAATGTCCAACCGCGCAGCCAACGTTCACCGAACTTATCGCCGACTATTACGCCAAAGTTGATCTCCAGCATTGCATCGAACTGCTGCTCTATGCAGACGACGATGGCGAGCTCACCAAGCAAATACTTCTCAAGGCAGCTCTAGCTACACCAGAGATCGCCGCAACCCTACGCAATCACAAAGAGGAATACATTGAGCGAGAGCGTCACAAGGTCATCAGTTTCAGCAGTCACGCCGATAAAGTGATTTATTCAATCGAAGACCGTTACATGGATCTCAGCTGTTCCGAGCAATACGACGCCGCTTCTGACGTCACACGACAGATAGAAGAAGCGTTTACACTCATTGTCGAACAAGCCACTCAGGAGTATGCTTCTCTCGGAACGAAGATAAACGCGCTTATAGCTCTGCGCTGCATTGCAGTGTCAATATGTGGAGGCCAAGAGGAGATCGGTAAACAAATCCGTAATCATTTCCAGACGGATGACTCTTTGGAAAGCTCAATGAACGCCGTCATTGACGAGATGAGCGTGGAGGAATGCGAGAGGGTGTGTGCCCTAGAATATTCGGGCAGGCCGTTCTTAAAAGCAATGGAGCAACTCAAGGAGCTTGCCGACGATCATTGCGTTTTCGAGGGGCTCCAAGACGTGATCGCAAATCTTACTTGAGAGGATGAGTCGGACGAGGATGGGGAAGGCGAAGGCGAAGAAGAAGAAGAATAAGAAGCGTAAGACGAATATGAGGGAAACCCTTCGTCAGATGTTACCAGGTGCGAAATATTTGGCACGAAGCCTGTGGATGGAAGATCGAAAAAGGAGGAGTAGTTGGAGTTTCAAAACTCCTGTAGCGCCCCTCAAACTGACGCGATGAACCGATGGATATTGGCCAAACACAAGAAGGAGGCAGCGAGAAGAGGCTGATCTGTAATCCGAGTTTGGGCTGACTTCTTGTCATGGATGTTAGGTCTTCTTATTGCCGACAGCTTCTAGTACCCTTCTAGTATTTTAATCTCAAGTCGTGTACGCCGTCACCAGCTGAGCACCACTTTCAAATCTTTGCGTTGCATGAGGCTCTTGACTGCGTTTGGATGGATCCCTAAGCCGCCTGGTATGGACCCACTAGTGGGTGGGGCGGCCAATGAGAGGGCTCGTAATTGGGCTTCGAACGTCGATGTGAGTGAAGGCCATTGAGAGCTGCAAGAACTTTGACTTTTCCGGACGGAACAGAGATCACGATCCAGTACAAATGCTCCACTTATTAAGATGACCTGCTTATTCTCGCGGTGGAACTTGCCGGATCGCGTAGCCTCGCGACGCTGTCGCGTCAATACGTCGACTCTTCCTCGCCTTTGCGCAAAACGCGATTTACACCACGTTCATGATCTATCTGGTGAACAAAATGACGGAGCCATCACTCAAGCGACAGCGTGCCGAGAGCGACGTAAATCCATCCACAATAGCCAGATCATCTACCACAACGAACCCGAATGTACCGATTTACGACCTTTGGACGGCATTGAGTGCCCTCGACAAATCTCAAACAGACCATACTTTCAGCCAGGCAATGCTCGTCAAACTAAATCTCCGCGACCCTTCGATCGGAGCCCAAATCCGACAAGAGTACCATTCCCACCTGCAACAGCAAAAAGAGATGCAGGCAGAACGAGAGCAGCGCAAAGACTTCTCACACTGTGTCGACGCGCTTGAAGAAGTTATACGCCATGAAGAAGCAAAGCCAGCGCACCTACCAAGAAATCCAGAACGAATTGCAAACTGCTTCATCACAAAGATGCGCGAAATTCGGCGCCAAACACACGACTATTCGTCGTTTGAGACGAAGAAGTCGGCGCTGGATACGCTTAGACGAATGGCATTTGCATGGCTTAATACAAGGGACAAAGAATTGCAGAAGCGGCTTTCAGGGTGGATTACCGAGGACCAATCCGATGAGTACTGTCTCGGTATGCTTGGGATCCTCAGAGACATGTCGGGGCAAGAGCGCAAAGAACTGGCCAATATGCCAGTAGACGGGGCGACGGTGGCGACTACGGGGGAGATGCACCGAGGGGGAAATCGGTTCATGGACAAGATGCAGGAGTTGAGAGAACGTCTTCATGAGACATGGTTGATTTGTGGCATGCATTTGTATGGTTTTAGTGAGGAATTGTTTTGGTGGGGTCGTGGGAATGAGGAGGCGAGTGATGATGGAAGTGATGATGGGAGTGATGGCGAGCACGGTTCCGAGGATGAGTATGGTACGCCACCTTATTGGGAGGATCCCACTGAGTAGGAGCATGGAGCATATAGCACACCTAAAGTGGATGTACGTGCGGAGATTATGCCATGGGGAAAGAAAGAGGCGTCAGCTAGCTAACGACGAAGGCGAAGTTACTAATAGTGTTTTATGGAACGGAACATGCATGAAAGCGCGTTGTGAGATACCACGAACCCATCCTGAACGTTCAAAACCAACACTTTGAGTAAGATGCAAGGGTGCGAGCTGTAGGGATGTATGTGTGTGTGTTCGGAGGACAGGACGAGAACGTCACGCACAAACATCCCTACAGCTCGCATCCCTGCATCGCACTCAGACTCCACTCGCCATGCAGCCCTCACTCCCGCAGCCCGTTCTTTCAAAGGTACTCTACCACCCACACCCTAAAAAGCATCCTCATACATCGCCTCCATTTCTTCCTCAGGATCAAATTCATGGCCATCCGAAACGTCGTCCGGCCATATCGTCAGCGGCCGCGTGAAGGGAGCGAAGCTGATCTCAAAGCCCGCCTCTAGTAAATCCCGCTTTTTCAACTCAAGGAACTTGTCATAAAACGACCCTCTGGGACATCCAGACTCGCCTTTTGCAGCTGTAACTGTGGCTCCATCTACTGGCATTTTGCACACCTCTTCGCGCTGTGCATACGTCAAGGAGCATACAACGTCTGCCATGCTGGGGGCGACTGTGCCCGCATCTTCGATGTTGATACGCTCCGCGACTGCGGCCCGCAATTTCTTGTCCGGGATCTGGACTATCAAGACGAGCAACTTTCTCACCGCATCCAAAGCGTTTTTCTTGGTGCCGAGAGACGAGAATTCGTGTGCTCGACCGCAAATTCTGGTCACGTTGTCGAAGAACGTCGACTGGATTTTGTCGGATAAAAAAGGGATCGCTGCCGGTGTTGTGGGACCGTCGCCTTTGCTAGGGATGGTTTTGTCAAGCTGTTTGATGTCGTATTGGAAGTCAACGACTGTGTTCTTCTCCTTTTCCAAGTAGGCGTCGTAGGCTTCGTTGATTCTGGCTGCGACTGCGGGGTCCTCAACTGCTAGCTTATTGAGGAGGCGTTGGCTGAAGGGACTGGTATACTTGTTGTTGTCAGGTGCTAAATCAAGGGCCTCTGTTTTCTTGGAGATTTCGAAATATGTAACAGGTGGCTCTGCTTTTGAGGGCGGATCTGCATTTGATGTGGTAGTAGGCGGTTGGGAGGGTACGGTGTCGGCGCTGTCTGCACGAGGGCGCTTGAGAGGTGGTTCCATGCTGATGGTGTCTTATGGATAGATGTTGGAAATGATGAGTGCTGCAATTTGCGCAGGGAAGAGGAAGATGGACGGCGTTGTCGCGCAAGAGCCAGGATTTACGCGTTGCGAGACGGTCCGAAATGACGTGCGTAGGGGGCTTGGGGTTTGGGGATTAGGCTTGGACGCGATTGGGAGCAGTGTTGCTTTTGCGGAGCATCCGCCGTATGGATCTTGAACCTCGTCCAGATATAAGGTGATTATTCCATTGCTCCTCTTATGTATTGCAGGCCATGCCACAAAGAAAATTTCATGTAGCGCGTATACAGATCGTGCCTGCCCAAAGTCCTGTTACGCGTTGACCAACGCACAGACCCTTTCGTCACATCCCTTGAACATCGCTACTGCGATATGGCTACTTCCGCACGTAGCATCATCTCACAACAAAGTAAGGTTATCAAGGGTCTTTTATTCGAAAGAACCCAATATGCGAACGTTCTTCGTTGAATACAGGACTATCTCGCGATCCAATTTCCAATCCCTACGCTTACCCACTTCACCAACCCATCTCAACTCATTTTAAACCATCCATACACCAAATATCTCATGCGTCGCGACCTTGTGATGAGAACACTTCAAGTCCAGCGCTACCTCCACTCTCGGTGCATGCCATACACATTGCACCCGCTGAAAAGCTCACTCCCCTCTTTATCCAAGGCGACCAAGGATCCTCGTCTTCTTTCTCTCCATCACTATCTCCATCTTCATCTCCATCTCCCTCTTCTCTATCACTCCCTCCATTCTCATCATTCTCCACCTCCGAAGATCCACCCACATCCTCAAGAAAAGCATTGTCAAGATCGCCGTTCGCAACATCTTCAACAACATCCCCAGCATCGTCTTCGTTTCCGTTTCCGTCTCCATGCCCGTCTTCATACTCCTCCCCATCATCCTCATCCATCTCCTCATCCCCATCCCCAAACTCATAGCCCTCTTCCATCATCCTCGACATGCCCGCCACATGATCAATAATCAAAGCAGCACGCACTCGTTCCTCCACAGACAACCAAGTAGCATCATTGAGCGCGCATCTGACTTCCTCAGCCGTCTGTTGAAGTTGCTTGAACACCGACGCTAACAGTTTTTGGCGTTTCCGGCATGGATCGTTGTGGTCGTTGATGCTGGAGGTACTGCGGCGGCGCTTGAGAGGGCGGTGTTGCATGGCTGTGGAGGGATTTGAAGGATTGGGTGATAGGTGAGATTGTTGAAGTTGATGGAGGGGCGTGTATGCGCATTGGAAGGGGAACTCTTGACTTTGGGGTAGTGTGCATAGTGTATTACAAGTACATGCCATCACGTCCCTGTCTACCAGAGTTGTGATGGCATCCTCACTTTTGGTTGAACGGTCGACCCAAACTCATCTCGCACGTCGATATCCACACCAACAACAAGCCAATCTCGATGATAATCCTTCATTTGATTACTCAAAATATCTAATAATGCTTCTTTGTATATGGGTTCGTCTCTATCGTGTATATAATGCATAATGGCGTCTAATATGCAGTGAAAAGGGTATCTGCGCCTCTCCCATGCTTTTGATAACGCCGTTGAAGTGCACTTTTTGCAGTGAAAAAAAAGGAAGGATCCCACCCAGGTATGAAGAACGCTTGAATGGTGTTGAAACGGCAGAGTCGAGATGGATGGGAAAAGATCGAGCGGAGTGGACCGAAAGACCGTTGTGGTGATGTTGGATGGAAAATTCGCAGCGCTTACGAGTCGGACTGTCAACTCGAGATGTTGCGGATTATTGTTCTTGGTCCTTATATCTTGGCCTGGCGAAGGATCCGGCTGTCCTGCTGCGCTTGCTGTAGCGCCAAGATCTCTCTTTGCTCCTGGAACACCTGACGCGCGCGCTCAAGCACCATCTCGAAGCCCTCCTTGCCCTTGGCAGCGTTTTGCTGGAAGCGTTCAACAGTGAACTGCTCGATGCTGTTCTTGATTTTCTGCCAGCCACCGCACAGCGCGGTAATCTCGGCGCGCTGGGTAAAGGCGGTCTTATCGGGTGATGAGGCGACGGGGTGGTATATGCAGGTCTCGCGCACGTTGAGGAGGTCGGACCATGTCATGTTCATGGAGCAGAGGGTGAGCTTCTTGGCAACGGGGTCGACGTAGGAGGTCTCGTAGACCATGGAGGTGTCCTGGCCGCCGAGAATGGTTTGTATCCATTTGGGTGTGGATTGCTGGCATGTGATGAGACGTTCGGTGCGGAGCTGCAGTGTGTTAGTTTTCTGCTCGGTGAGGCTGGTGGGGCGCGCCGAATTGACATGTGAAAGAAGGAGTCACTTACAATTCCTGTCGCTGGGTCGACGGAGCGGCTTAATGTGTCGACGGCGATGACATGGGGTGTCTTCTCGTTCCAGGGACCGTATTTGCGCCAGTTACTGGTCGAGACCTCTTCCCATGTGTAGTCGAAGTCGACTGTCTGCTGGAAGTACTTCATCGTGTGGTCGTGTGCGCTGTCGTGTGGGTCGGGTAATGTTCGTTGTCGCTTCGATGTGACGTGTTCGCAGTGATTCGGACCCGGGAATCCGATGGTATGTATTGATGAGCTGTGATAGCCGTAGTGTGGAGTTGAGGTGGGTTGTGAAATGTGAAGGGTGCAAAAGGTTTGGAGACGGGTGGGCAGAGGCCGAAAAGCAGGCCGTGCGCTGGCGATAAACGATCGTCGGGGAAAGCGGGAAGTGCTCAACGCTTTTCACCGCTCGTGCCCTGTATCTTTGTTTCTTGTTTCTCCGCAAAGTCGTGCCGATTAAAGTGCGGTGTACGGAGTTGGAGACAGATGCGTTGTCAAAAGATCAAAAAGCAAGAAAGTCGCGATGTTCTGGTTCGTTGGTAGGAAAGCAATGTGAAACGAGTGCACGAGAGCCTTCTATCCGACCTCACGTCTTGCGGATCTACAAAATCTTTGCCACGGACAGCCGCCTTTCCACTTTTCCGGCCAATCACAGCCGAGACGCTGACAGCCGCGGGTACGAGTCGTGTGCCATTCTCAGCGGCGTCTGGCCCAGTCATCCCGACTCTCCCCGTATGACGTCTCGACCCGAATTGGCCAGGTCTCGTTGGTGGACTTCTTCTAGACTTGACGCAGGGCGTGGAGTACCTGAAGCTTGCACCGAAGATCTAGCTGCGCATTTGGCTCGCGCAACAAGCTAACAATCAGGGTCTTCCGGCTGTCGTGTGCGCAAGGCGGTTATTGGCTTGGGACTGTGATCCACGACGTGTGTAGTGGGATGGAAGTCCTCGGTTATGCGTGTCTACAGTGCTTTGACGATAGCATCACACATCAATGACGAATAGAATTCATGATAATTACTTCAATTTTCTACGTTTGCTGCAATGAGCAAACATTGAGATGATCCAGATGCAAACGAGTGAAGGCCCCAAGGCTGCGATTCAAACAAACACAAAACGTATTGCAAGAAAAGAGCAACTTATTGTCGTCTTTCGACGGCTAATCATGTATTTTCATGATTCATCTAACCAAGTGTATCGTTGGTATCATAACTTTTGTATGAAAGCGCCAGAACGCCAACCATGCATATGCAAAGTGTAAGCAACTTTCGTTGCATCATGTGATACACTCAACTGAGTGTCCATGTCGTTCCATCGTAACCATCTACAACTCCAAAGCCTTCTTCGCCATTGCGAGCGCACCGTCGAACGTTTTGTTTCCTCCAATGAAACCAGCGGCGTGCACGAAGACACAGCCCGGAATACCAGAGACCTGGTCGAGCTGCTCGTCGCGCACACCCTTCCATGCATCGGGCAGGTCCTTGCGATTCTCGAAGCCACCGTTCTCCTTGCTGACGGCACGGATGCGCCACTTGCCCTCGGGCTTGTCTTCGGGGAAGAGGACATAGAGAACCTGAGGGGCAACACCTTGTGGCTGTTGTGCTTCCTTCTCGAAGTTATAGAGGTGGTCGGCCCACGGCATGCCTTCGGGAAGGACCAGGATGCGTCCCTGAGGATCGTACTGGAGACGGGCGTCGTAGGCCTGCTTGACCTGGTGACGAGCGGGGAGCCACGATCGGGCGCGGTCGAGGAGTTCCCAGCGGAACTGCTCGCCTACGAAGCGAGATGCGTTGGTGAAGCGGAAGTCCTCATCAGCCTGCTTGGCCTCTGGGGTCTTGGTCTCGTCTGCGGTCGGCGACTTGTTGCCATAGTTGTAGCGGTTCACTACGCTGGCGATGCTGAAGCCGCGATCCTCAAACTTCTTCTCAAGCCCCGCCTTCTCTAGGTCCTTGGGCGCAAGAACATTGATGCCGTTGTCGTTGGCGTCGAAAGCCTCAATGAAGTCAGTGTAGATCTTCTCGTACAGAAGATCACGGTCGGCGCCTTCCAGACCAGTCACAGCGGTGATGATGTCTTTTCCGTAGTGCATGTAGACGAGACCAGCGGAGGAGAGCTTGGTGGTGTGGCCGGGGAAGACGACCTCGAAGCCGCGCTGGTGGTGATCATAGCGCTTCTTGTCGTCCTCGTACTCGCCGCCTACGTCGACAACGGTGTGGCATTCGGCGAGGACGGCGGGGTCACGGGTGCGGATCAGCTGGGCGTCGCGGTAGGTGGGTAGCTCCTTCAGCATGGAGACGGCAAGGGCCTCGTCGGCGTGGAAGTGGCCATTGTGCGTGCCAATGACAGGCACGTCTGTCTTGAGCTTCTTGGTGGGGCTTTCGGCCATGGTGCGGGTGAAGTTTGCAGAGTAGCTGGCAAAGTAGTTTGGTGTGGGCGGCTTGTATGTGTTCCAGGCGATTCGCGAGGGTCTGGCAAACAAAGGTCGTAGTTTGAACATGCAATTGCTGCTAGTAGAAGTTTCGCATAAGAAGACGGTCCCGCGGCGGGCACTGGGCTTGGCAAGACCCGCGGGCGCTAGTAGGTGGGATACGCAAAAGCAAGCACGGCAAGCTCGTCACAGTCGGAGGCAGCAAGAGCAGGGCAGGAGGATTCAAGACACTGTCTGACGG